ACAGTGTGGGTGAAGGGTAATTTAATTTGCACAAATAGGATCTTTCTATGTCATCATCTAAATTTTGACATCATTAATTTTTATTTTTATTTTCGTAAATTGATTTGCAGAAGAATTAGTAGAAATTGATTGGTAAAACTTGAATCGTCGCAAAATTTGATGGGTCTCCAGGATGAGGAAACTGCACTATATATCCACCAAAACCAAAATCTCGCTTTTACCCATTTTGAAAATAGTTACAATATCCACCTACCCCACCATATTAATTACCCGACCTACCTATCATTTTTTCTCTATAATTTTATAGTTAAAGCTAATTTATATGTTCCCCTATTTTTCTCCCCATTTTCTCTTTCTTCCTTTTACGGCATCAATTCATTTTCTCTTTCTTCCTTTTACGGCATCAATTCATTTTCTCTTCGTATTCTTACAACAATAGCAATTCCTTTTATTATTAAATTCTCTCTTCCATATATCATTGGCACGAAAATTAAGTAAGAAAAAGTTTTTGGTGAGTCCCTATCCATTATTCAATAGAGCAATACTACAAAGTAGTGGATCCAATTCCAGATCCGAAGAAAAAAATTGGAACTTTATGTGTATGAGTTCAAATTTTTAGATCTGAATTTTTGGTGTGTGTTTGAAATGTTTTATTATTGAAATTCATTTGGTGTTGTTCTTTGACATTTGGATTATAGTGTTTATACTGTTTTTCACATATTTGTTATTGAAAGGGTCAAATTCACAATTGAACGACCTTGAAGGTTGAAACTCATAAATTGGATTTGTTGATTTTGTAGTTGTTTTGATTTTGCATGGGTTTATTTATAACATTATACTATAATATAATGTTATAGTATATAGTATAATATAATAGTATAATGTTGAATGAAGAACACAAGATATTATTTTATTATATTGTAGAACTATATACCCTATTGGTATAATTATATGTCATATTGGTATCATATGGTAGTTGAAATATTTTTTGGTTATTTTAGCTGTATTTTTAAGTGAATTCTATTATGAAATGATTTATATGATTATGTTTTGCTGTGTTGGATTTTCTTATACCTATGGACATAGATTTTGTGTATTATGTAATAGTTTTTATAGTTATATGCAGTTGTTGGAACGACCCTTACAACTATATACCCTATTAGTATAGCTGTATACTATATTGATATCATATGCTAGTTGAATCATGTTATGGTTGTATTAGCTGCATTTAATTAGTATAATATTTAATTTTTTTTAATAATAGTAATATAGTACAATATCTTGAAATACTTTATTATATTAATATGTGGTACACTAGTTTTTTTATTTTTCTCTTTATGCATGTGTGTTATGTAATAGTAGTATAGTCATATAGTTGCCGGAAATTAACAAGTAAGAAACTGTATACTGTGTTGGTATAGTTATATGCCATATTGGTATCATATGGTAGTTTGAACATTTTTTTGGTTGTTTAGCTGCATTTTAAGTGAATTTTATTCAAATGATTTATATAATCATGTTTTGCTGTGTTGGATTTTCTTGCACCTATGGACATAGATTTTGTGTATTATGTAATAGTTTTTATAGTTATACGCAGGTGTTAGAATGACCCTGTATAACTATATACTCTATTAGTATAGTTATATCTTCTCAAGAAAATAAGTTCCACCCGCATGCTTTAACCCAACAACAATGCATAAGTACTCATCACCTCACATATGCGTTGTTCCCATACATTAAACACGTAGCAAATAGACTAACAAGTCATAATCCCTCAAGTTAAGGTTAACCACAATATTTATCTCGCTCTGCAATCAAATCAAAGCTCAATCAGAGCCTTTCCTCTAAAATTCACCTCTAAACCAATCGAATCTAACCAAATATAGTTCAAACAATTCAAAATAAGCTTTAGAAACTACCCACGAGTGAAAAAGATTCAATCTTTAATGATTTTGGAAAAAATCAATAAAAGTCAACCCCGGGCCCGCTTGATCAAAATCCGAGATTCGGACCAAAACCCAATTACCCATTCACCCCTGAGCCCGATTATGTGATTAGTTTCTATATCCGACCTTAATTTGAGGTCTAAATCTCAATTTTACAAAAATCCCCAATTCTACCCAAATCCCTAATTTTTACCATGAAAGAGCATAGATTAAAGGTTAGAAATCAATGGGTGCTAATGAAAATGGAAGAAAATGAGTTAAAATATACTAACCTACGAAGTGGGGATGAAATTCCTCTTCAAAATCGCCTATAGGCCGAGCTCTCATATGAAGCTAGTGAAAATGGGTTAAATCCCGATTTTTTGAAGTCTTAAAGACTGGGCGTCATGTGTCCTTCGCGTTCGCGAAGCACCTGACGCGTTCGCGAAGAGTACTGGCCAAAAGGCCATCGCGATCGCGGTCAACTCTTCACGTTCGCGAAGGCCTAGTCCCCCCTGTCTTCGCGTTCGCGAGCCAACGCCCGCGTTCGCGTAGAGTCACTGGCCAGCTCCCCCAAGAACCTCACAAAGCTTCTCGTTCGCGGAGGCATAGTTGCGTTTGCGGAGGGTAAGTCCCCCTTTACTTCGCGTTCACGACCAGCATCTTGCGTTCGCGAAGAGTATAACTCCGATCCAATCCCAATTTTCCCTTCATGATCATGAGAGTAGCTTTGCGATAGCGAAGCACAAAACACCAGACATCAGATATCAGCAAAAACAACATATGCGTAAGTCTAAAAATCACTCTGTAGCCTATCTGAAACTTATCGGAGTCTCTCTGACTCCAAACCGAACATGTACACAAGTTTAATAACATCATACGAACTTGCTCGTGCGATCAAAACACCAAAATAACACCTAGAATTGCGAATCAGACATCAAAATGATTGAAATTTTTAAAAAAACTTAAGAACTTCCAAATTTACAACCGGACGTCCGTATCATGTCAAATCAACTCCATTTTTCACCAAATTTTGCAGACAAATCATAAATAGTGAAATGAACCTATACCAAATTTCAGAACCGAAATCCGAACCCGATAGCAACAAAGTCAACCTACGGTCAAACTTAGGAATTCTTTAAAACTTCAAAATACTAGTTTTCACCAAATTACAATTAATCAAGTTAGGGACTTCCGAATTCGGTTCCGAGCATACGCCCAAGTCCCAAATCACGATACGGATCACCGGGACCGTCAAAACACTGATTCGGGTCCGTTTATATAAAATAGTCGACGTTGATAGAGGATAACTTGCGTTTGTATGGGTTATTCCCTATTAAATGCATGCCTAATAATAAGGATCCTAAATTATCATTAATTTGTATATAATTGATACATTGCTACCTAAATATAATTTAGTGATCATAAAATCTCTAGTGATGATAAGTAAGTTTATCATTGCATAGTTAGGTAAAAATTCCAAAATTAAAATACCACTCTCACTTATTCAGCTTTCTCAGAGCCATACCTTATCAAGAACTACTCTTTTCTTTATGACATGCAATATTTTGCCAAGAAATGGAATGGCTATTCTAATTCTTCAAAGGGGCTGTTCATTAATCAATATGTCACAAGTCAAACCGTAATTTCACAACTTTGAATCCTAGGTCTACTGACCATTATTTGTCTTGTTGGTTTCTCTATTCCTTCTTATGTGTGAAATAGTAGGTGATTCTACAACTTTGAAGTAGTGTTACGAGAGTTTTCACGTTATTAGTGAAGTAATCATTAAAAGATATGGTATAGTTCAAAGAATATAAGGAGTATTTTCAGGAAGGTATTGGCTAGGAACAAACTTTCAATACATTGATTTTTATTTTTTATCTTTTTGCTATTAAAACTCAGTGCGTATTATCATTATAAAATAAGAAAAAGAAGAGCTATCTTTTGAAAAAATATTTAATAGGGTTTGGATACGGCGAACGTGATGTTAACAAACAAAAAAGAGCTAAAGATTCCATAGTTGGATGTTCCCAAGGTTAGTCCTAGAAGTTAGGGCTTAGGTTCAGCAATTTTTGCTCTCTAATATTTATTTTAACCTTAAGCTTTTTAAGGGCATAGTCAAGGTAAATATTGTAACCACCTAATATGAAATCATATGTACCATACTTTGCTGTTAAATAATCCAACTTAATTGCTACTGCTATATCTTAAAAGTCATACTCCACATGATAGCAGTTGTGTGTCGTCAGAGTTATGGTTGAAAAAATGAACCTCTCTACACTCTACAGCCACATGATTTGGCCTTAAAATCTGGGTCCTCCTTCACTCCCCTTAATTTACCTCACTGTCCTCTACTTATTATATACGTAGTATATTTTTAACTATGCGTGTTCAATTCGAAATATTTGATTAAAGATAAAAAAAAATTATAACGAATATCGACCCGATTTATCTCCTAAACTTTATATTGCTGAAAGCTGCCAACTTGGTAAAAAGAATTGAAATGCATAGCCTTTCACTACTAATTACCTTTACACTAATTAAGAACTTGATTTTCCATACATGTTAATAGGTAACTGCACCACTGCACGAGCNATATATATATATATACATAAACATACACTAAATAAATTTGTTTCATTAACAATCTAGAAAATACTTACTAGCATTTGGTGTACATAAACCACGTTATTAATTTAAAAGAGTTAAAAATTAAAGTGAGACTACATATAACTCAACCATTGTTAAATGATGAAAAATTATACATGAATTATGTCTTTGGTGTAAACACACGAATAATTTTTTCCAAGTATTGTATCCCCTTGTGGGACTACCACTCAACCAAACATTTTACCATTTCATGTTCTTTTCTTTCTGCAAAGAAAATGCCTCGTTTTCTAACCTCTCACTGTTGGAATGCTAATGGCAGTAAGGAGAAACGACATTCAGCAAATTTAACTACATAACTGAGTTCCAAGAGAAGTGCTCATTTGTTTTGTTTTTTTCTTCTTTAATTTCTTTAACTTTCTTTAAAAGAAAATGGTAGAAACATCAATAAGGCAAAGAGAGAGAGAGAGGCAATGAGCTCAGATACCAAAGCAAGACCAACTATGTCATCTATTGAGCTTTGAGGAAAACAATGCAACAACACATGGTGGCATCTGCTTGTAGCGTGGAAAAATCTTTCAATGCTCCCTTTACATATTCATTTCATTAACATTATAGTACTTGCTAATAATAATGTAGAGTGAACACAGAACCCCGAGGTGAAAAGATGGTGGAGTTGTTTGTGGCCATTTCAAATCTTTAATACTCCACTAATTATTGTTGCCTCTTTCTTTTGTCTCTTCTTTTCTTGCTTCCCTGCAAAGCTAGATTCTGCTACGTGCTACTACTATATTCATAAACCCCACTTGATTTGCGTTTATAACATTAGCAAACACACAACATCCCATTTTGAGTGAATCCTAAAAAAAAACTCCTTTCTCTAAGAGCGAGCCAATGCATTTCACCTAAGAAGATTGTGGTTTGGAAGTTGATGCCATTGCAAATGCCAATGTCGAGGCAATTCTTGAACCCCCCAAATCACCATTATCTTCTTGTCTTCCTCACCTTTCTTCTATTCCATGATTTTACTCTTTCCTCTAATGCTGCAAACAATGAAGTTCATGTGCTATTTTCTTGGCTTCATTCCACTACTTCACCAATTCCTCCTGACTTCTCAAACTGGAATCCTTTAGACCTCAACCCTTGTAAATGGTCTCATATAGTTTGTTCTTCTCATCTTTTTGTGACAGAAATTGATATTCAATCCATTCAGTTGGCTCTTCCTTTCCCTTCCAATCTTTCCTCTCTACAATCCCTTCAAAAACTAACCATTTCTGGTGCTAATCTCACTGGAACAATCCCACTTGACATTGGAGATTGCACTTCACTTGTAACACTTGATGTCAGTTCAAATAGTCTTATTGGTAGCATTCCAGAAACTATCGGTAAGCTTAAAAACCTTCAAGATTTGATTTTGAACTCCAATCAGCTGACAGGGAAAATCCCAGTAGAGGTTGGCAATTGCATTAACCTGAAAAATCTTGTTATTTTTGACAATATGCTTAGTGGGAATCTCCCTGCTGAACTGGGAAAACTTGGAGTTTTGGAAGTTATAAGAGCAGGAGGGAACAAAGATATTGAAGGGAAAATCCCAGTTGAGCTTGGAAATTGCAACAACTTGATAGTGTTGGGACTTGCTGACACTAAGATTTCAGGTTCTCTTCCTTCATCATTGGGTAATTTGAAAAAGCTTCAAGTTTTGTCAATATATACTACAATGCTTTCTGGCCAAATACCACCTGAAATAGGCAACTGCTCAGAGCTGGTTGACTTGTATTTGTACCAAAATAGTTTGTCAGGTTCCATGCCAGCAGAGCTGGGAAAGCTTCAGAAAGTGGAAAAGTTGCTGCTTTGGCAAAATAATCTTGATGGTCCAATTCCTGATAAAATTGGGAACTGTCAAAGTTTGGTCATTCTTGATCTTTCTTTGAATTTTTTAAGTGGAAGCATACCTTGGACTTTTGGGAATCTTACTAATCTTCAAGAGTTGATGATTAGTAACAACAACATTTCTGGTTCAATCCCATCTGTTCTTTCTAATGCCACAAATTTGGTACAGCTGCAAATGGACACTAATCAAATTTCAGGATCAATTCCACCGGAAATCGGACAGTTGAAGGAGTTAAATGTCTTTTTTGCTTGGCAGAACAAGCTTGAGGGAAGCATTCCTCCTGCATTGGCTGGTTGCAGAAGCCTAGAAGCTTTGGATTTATCACACAATTCTCTCACTGGTAGTTTACCCCCTGACCTTTTTCAGTTAACTAATTTAACCAAGCTTCTCTTGATTTCAAATGATATTTCTGGTTATATCCCTCCTGAGATAGGTAATTGTCGTTCTCTTATACGTGTACGACTTGTTAGCAATAAAATTAGTGGACAAATTCCAAGAGAAATAGGATATCTAGACAATCTTAGTTTTCTTGATCTTTCTGAGAATCATCTTAAAGGATCACTTCCTGAGGAGATTGGCAATTGCAATGCACTGCAAATGCTGAACCTATCGAATAACACTCTAAGTGCCACTTTACCTAGCTCTCTTTCTTCTCTCAGTAGGCTTGAGGTTTTGGATGTTTCCTTGAATCAGTTTAGCGGTCAGATTCCAGCAAGCTATGGTCAACTTACTTCCCTTAACCGACTTGTTCTTAGTAAGAATGCTTTCTCTGGATCGATTCCCCCAACTCTAGGCAATTGCTCAAGCCTTCAACTGCTTGATCTAAGCAGCAATGAGCTCTCAGGAAACATGCCAGTGGAATTGTTTGACATTCAGGCACTTGACATTGCCTTGAATTTAAGCTGGAATGTCTTGACTGGGGTAATCCCACCACAGATATCCGCCTTGAACAAACTTTCAGTACTAGACTTTTCCCACAACCAGCTCGAAGGAGACTTATTGGCTCTTTCGGGGCTTGAAAATCTGGTTTCCCTAAATGTTTCCTACAACAATTTCACTGGCTATCTCCCTGATAAAAAGTTGTTCAGGCAATTATCGGCAGCAGAGTTGGCTGGCAATAAAGGCTTATGCTCCTTGGGACATGATTCTTGTTTCTTGAGCAGTGCTGGAGGCGGGGGAATGATGAGATATGGCAATGTAAGACGGTCATGGAGGCTGAAATTGGCGATTGCACTTCTTACAGTGGTGACTATAGCCTTGGCAATCCTTGGAATGATGGCAGTTTATAGATTGAGAAAAATGAGCAGAGAAGATACTGATTCTGAATTGGGAGGAGGTGATTCATCACCTTGGAAGTTTACCCCATTCCAGAAACTGAATTTTTCTGTTGAACAAATTTTGAGATGCCTAGTGGAATCCAATGTGATTGGAAAAGGATGCTCGGGAATTGTTTATTGTGCAGAACTTGAAAATGGTGAAGCAATTGCAGTCAAGAAGCTATGGCCTACCACATTGGCAACTGGATATAACTGTCAAAATTCAAAGTCTGGAGTTAGTGGTGAAGTTCGTGATTCTTTCTCAACCGAGGTAAAAACACTTGGCTCAATCCGTCACAAGAACATCGTGAGGTTCTTAGGCTGCTGCTGGAATCAAAACACTAGGTTGCTCATGTATGACTACATGCCTAACGGAAGCCTAGGCTTCGTTCTACATGAACGAAGTGGTGGATGCTTGGAGTGGGAGTTGAGATACAAGATTGTACTTGGTGCAGCTCAAGGGCTTGCTTATTTACACCATGATTGTACACCTCCAATTATTCATAGGGATATCAAGGCCAACAACATTCTCATTGGCCTTGACTTTGAGCCCTACATTGCTGATTTTGGTCTAGCCAAACTTGTCGATGATGGAGATTTTGCACGATCCTCCAATACAGTAGCTGGCTCCTATGGATACATAGCACCAGGTTAGTCACAAGTCAAAGTGCCATTTTTCAACACAACACTGTAATTAGATGTTATGTAATTAATGCTTATGTATTAAACATGTTGTGCAGAGTATGGATACATGACAAAGATAACAGAGAAAACTGATGTTTATAGCTTTGGAGTTGTTGTCTTGGAAGTTTTAACAGGAAAGCAGCCAATTGATCCAACCATACCTGATGGACAACACATTGTGGATTGGGTAAGGCAAAAAAGAGGCAATGCTGAAGTCTTGGATGTGAGTTTACATGCTCGGCCCGAATCAGAAATTGAGGAGATGATGCAGACCATAGGAGTGGCTATGCTATGCGTTAATCCATCGCCAGATGATAGACCGACAATGAAGGATGTCGCGGCAATGCTCAAAGAGATAAGACATGAGAGAGAGGAGTACCAGAAAGTTGATATGCTCCTCAAAGATGGAGAGTCATTAAGAAATGACAATAAGAGTACTAGTGATGGAGGACCATCTTCAAAGATGCATAGCTTGTATTTGCAAAGTAATAATACAAGCTTTTCTGCATCTTCATTGTTACATTCTTCTTCCTCCAACACCAAGATTGGTTTCAAATAGATACCTGGCTCAATAGTTTTCGAGTCAAAAGATGTAGAAGCAAACTTCTATTTATTTTAATAGTTAGATTTTTTTTTTTTTTTTTGGTTTTTTGGCTCACTCTCTAGTCTTTAGTTATGTTTCTGCTTGAATTGGTTTAGTGTGTTTTGTGGTCTTTACTAAATGACCAGAAATTTGTAAAAAAAAAAAAAAAAAAAAAAAGGTCTAGAGCCATATCTGTTCTGATACTTAATAAGGCATCTTCAATTTTTCTAGTATATCACATCTAAGATTTATTCATTAAGGGTAGTTGTAAATGTCAATGATTTCTCCATATCAGCAGAATCCATAAAATCAATTGCTTGCTCAGGATATTTACCAAAGAAACTAATTGCCTTGCTTTCTGAACAACTCATATCTTTTTCAGATTATCCATATCTTCCAGTGGATGATCTGTAGATATACCATATCTTCTGATGGATTATTATAAGCAGCGAAGCAATCCTAGTATCAAAATCACGTGTAATCTAGACAATTAGCATATACGGGGTTTCATGGTATCTCTTGAAGAGTGAACAAATCTCTTCTATCACGTGAGTCTTCAGTTCCATAACGTTCAATGGAATCTCCACCACCCGCACAATCATGATCCTCGAACGTGCACAATCATGATCCTCGAACGTTCCACGGTCTTCCACTGTGTTACCCAAATAATATCCGGAAATAACAATTTCGTGTGGGCGAAATTTCTAGGAAAATATGGCTGAAAATTTCGGTCACCGTGTCTTCTTACTCTAGATGGAAAACCTATGTATTTACACACAAGTTTTAAGGGTTAAAATCCTTTTCCAAAATCTGTTGATTTCTTTTCCCCGAGGAAAATGATTCCTTTATTTTCTATTATTTAGGCACAGCAGAGACTACATAATTTAATCAACAAGACTTCCAATTATGGAATTAATTAATAATTTTTGAAATTATTATCCACCATAATTTATTACAAATTATTCCACTAAAAATTCGTAATTCCACTCCTTATTCAATTACGAAATTCATCTATTAAATCTTATTTAACTTCCCATGTTAAATTACTAACAATTTAATTTATTGATTATTTTCTTTAGACTTTCGCTTAACTTATTTCATGTGTCGGATACAAAATCTACCGGCCGGGTTTACACATGAAAACTTATAAGCTTTCATAAAGGTGTATCATCAATCTCTAAACCGAGACATGGATTCCATCAACTAACTATTATTTCGCCAATGTACATTATTATTATCCAATTTACCAGGCATATTGACCCATGAAAGAATCTCGCCTTTCAATAAATCAAAACAATAATAATATACACAGCTAATAATAATTATATCAAGATTAAGAGTATAAGTACATTTAATGGCTAGAGAATTTATTTTATTAAGTCAGTATAAAATACTTATCTCTACTTGGTCCGCTCAATACATACAAAATGTACTAGCACAAGAAGTTGGAATTAAACCATTTCCATAATCAAGATAAATTATATTTAATCTTGTGCTACAATCATCCATGATGGTTTGTCCAATTTCATCATTAGATCGTGAACTCAAATTTTATACTTATAGGAACCGATGATTTAATTTTCCGTGTGCAAGCTAAACTCTATACACTAAATCATCTACTATATAAGCAAATGACACATACTAATATATAATCAATTTAAAACTTTATTAAAACTGAATAAACAATTATTTCATAATAAATATTATATCTAAACCAAACCCATGGTTAATAATATTGTTTACCCTCAAAATTGGATAACAATTGATTTTATACGCGGTTTTAAGGTTATGTGATATAGCTTGATACAAATTAAGAAAACAGATTAATATTGAAATTGACAATAAAAGAATAAATTTAAACCACACAAATTAAACAGTCTTGGCCTTCGAGTTTGATCACCCTCGAACCAAGAAATGCCTCAACTGATGTAAGAACAGAATAATAAGATGATAAAGGCTAGAAATAACAGTATATTGCTTTGTGCTGCGTATTGCAATGTCCCTTACAAATGATCAGACTCCTCCTTTTTATAGTAAGGTAGTCCTACTCTTGATACAATTCTATATAAGGTAAAAAATCTCATGATTTGCTAATTAATCGGCCTCTCCTTGATACGTGTCGGGATTTTCACTGTGATCCCCAACCGATCGCGGATACTTCGGTCTTCTGTTATTCGGCTCGACAAATTTCCCTCTATCTTGTTTGGTCTCGATTTTGTTCGGTTCCAGGGTCACGAGCTCAATGATTTGACTTCGCCCCTTGGTTCGATATAACCCGAGATCGAGCTTTAACTTGTCACGCTTCAGTCTTGATTGGTCACACAATAGGCGAACCCGATTTCGACCGTATACAGATAGTCCCCTCATTTTTCGGAGAGAAGATGACGAGAAACGATATGAACTTCCGAATCCCGCTTCGATGGATCATGACGTAAGCGACAAACAGTTACCGAAACATCCGATCATGATGTAAGCGACAAATAGTTACCGAAACATCCCGTCGGTCCAGTTACCAAGGCATTAAATGCCTTTCAGTTGTTGGACGGTCACTACGGGTTTTGAACCTTCATTAGAAAACTCTAAATACCCCAACTTTCATTCATTCAAACTTTACGTTCAAAGCTCATTCTATTCTTGTTCTTTAAAAATCCCTTCACTCTCCAACTTTTGTACCTAGATATCTTGAACCTTTTGCAAACCACTAAGCGTACCTTCTTAATTTACTCTTCTTCATCTCTACACTAAAATGGTGAAAACTTCTAAGATTGTCCCACAAAAGGAGGCCGTTTCTTTATCACGACCCGCCGGCGACGGGACTGCGGCGGAACCACATCCTGAAGAGTTCATTCCTGCAAGGTACCCGACCGTTGCTGATTTCAAGGTCGAACAAATTTCTTCAGTACCGGGTCGATGCGAGCCGGTCTCGAGATATATATGTACGATCACCGATGATCTCCTCTCCAAGGTCAAATAGGATTGTAATTGGGCCGATAAGCATGTAGTGGTGCCTTCGCTTGAGGAAGCAATTACTACCCACGTGGAGGGTTTTTTAAGTGTTTACACTTACCCCTTCACATTGGGTCCCTTAGACCCGGTCATTATCGTCTTCTGCAAGAGGTAAGAGGTGACCCTCGGTCAAATTCACCCCTCCTTCTAGAGGATAGTGATTCTTTTCCGCTTTTTTGTAAACAAAATCGATGGGTGTCCCTTCAGCCTTGATCATCTTATGCGCTTGTACAGTCCCCAACTCTATCGAGGGGGATTAATCAAACTTGCTCGCTCGGCCGATATGGCCTTGTTCTCAAGTATAGATGAGGCTCGAGACCGAGGCTGGATGGGCCGGTTCATTCGAGTAAGGACTTCGGACTTGATCCCTGCTAAGGACATGCCATTTCCCGAGAAATGGAACATGAAGCGTAAGTACAACTTCGCCTTAAAGATTTTATTTATTGTTTCTCCCCTTCTCTCCCTTCTTATCGGTGTTTTTGTGTTGCAGCTGTGGCTCAGATGTCGGATTCCGTTCCCCAACTCAAGGGGTGGGTCGAGGACCTTATGTCATAGAGACCATATTCCGAGCGTGCATGGATGGAACTGTCGAAGGGTCAGTGGGAGGCCCATAATCATGGTAAGTTTTCTTTTCTGATTCAATAATGTTTGACTTTCTCCTTGCGCTGTCGAATTCTTATCAGTTCTGTTTCCTTTTGTAGGTCTCCCCAAGGATGTTGCTATGAGGCTGTAACGACCCGACTTGTCATTTTAAGAATTTAAGCCCCGTCTGGCGGCATAAGGCCCTGAGCAGCTTCTTATTATGTGTATTGACTTGCGTGCGTGGTTGAATTCAGTTACCGGATGATTTGGAGTGATTTGGGACACTTGGTCCCCAAAACGGAAGCTTAAGTCTTAGGATTTTTACCGTAGTCGGAACTGTGTGAAGATGACTCCGGAATGGAATTTTGATGATGTCAATAGCTCCGTATGGTGATTTTGGACTTAGAAGCGTGTCCGGAAAATTATTTAGAGGTCCGTAGTGGAATTAGGCTTGAAATGCCGAAAGTTGAATTTTTGGGGAGTTTAACCGGGGGGTTGACTTTTTGATATCGAGGTCGGAATTCGATTATGGAAATTGGAATAGCTTCGCTATGTCATTTATGATTTGTGTGCAAAATTTGAAGTCATTCCGAATAGATTTGATGTATTTCGGCACAAGATATAGAATTTAAAAGTTCAAAGTTCATTAGGCTTGAATTGAGGTGTGATTCGTAGTTTTAGCGTTGTTTGATATGATTCGAGGCCTTGACTAAGTTCGTATAATGTTTTAGGACTTGTTGTTATTTGGTTGAGGTCCCGAGGGGCTCGGATGAGTTTCGAGATGGTTTCAGATCATTTCTAGGCCATTTTTAATTGCTGGTTTCTGCCTACAGAGGTGTGCATCGCGATCGCGAACTTTTGGAAACATCAATTTGGGGACTTGTGAATCACGATCGCGGAAGCTCTTTCGCGATCGCGTAGAACAAATCTCTGTTGCACCGACCCAACTTTGGAAGCTTATATCTCGCAATCTATAAGGAATTTGGAGATGATCTAAAAATAAAAGTTGTAGCCCTTGATGTATAGTTTTCATAAAATAAACCATTTGTCATTTGGAGATGTGTACAAAACGTTATGGTGGATACACTATAGGCTATCTGGGAAGAGTTTGGAAATCTCTATTGCACAGGGCTGACTTTGGAAGCTTATATCCAGAAATATATAAGGAATTGGAGATGAGCAACAAATAAAAGTTATAGCCCTTAGTGTATAGTTTTCAGAAAGTTAAACCATTTGTAGTTTGGAGTTTTGTACAAAAGGTTATGACCATTATACTAGAGGCTGTCTGGAAGAGTTGGGGGAGTTTATTCTTCGCGATCGTGATTGGTTTTCCGCGATCGCGAAGAGCAATTTTGGGGCTGAAAATTTTTGTGCTTCGCGTTCGCGAAGCATTTTCCGCGATCGCGAAGAGCAATTTTGGGGCTGAAAATTTTTGTGCTTCGCGTTCGCGAAGCATTTTCCGCGATCGCGAAGAGTAAATACATGAGCAGTAGCTATATTTCGAGGTTTCAGCCATTTTGACATATTTGGAGCTATGGAGCTCGGATTGAAGCGATTTTTGAGGCAATTTTTACCATATGGATTAGGGTAAGTGTTATATATCCTAAAGTATCTTTATTTCATGAATCTATGATTATATTCATCG